GAAAAGGGTATTCATAAGTGGATGATGTAAATAGAAAATAAAGTTAGCAATTGACATTATGACCACAGGATTTTTTTTTTTTTTAAAGAATGAGCTGTGTGTTAAAAGGGTATATTTCGAGATGAGAAAGACAAAAAGCCACTCGATGGACAGACATGATCTGTGGTTTGATCAGGCACATTTAAGCAGTTAACACCTATTCACTGAAAGCACACACATCCTTCAATTTCATCACCAAGCTGCTTTTACGTTAGTGAACTATCAGATGTGTCAACCGATTGGACACACTTGACAAAGCTGAACCCAGTTTTATGCTTAGCTCTGTATGTTCTATATCCAGGGAGCCCCAAAACACACTTGATAGGTGAGAAACACACCTACCTGAGTTGTGTTGGCCATTAGCTCTCCAACCTGTGATAGAAATAAGAACACATCAGCCAAACCATGGAAAAGCAGCATGTGGGATCTACCATTGAATGCGTCTCAGTCAGTGACTAGAAAAAGGATAACTGAAATACGTACACCTGAAACCTATGTAACTTTTCTAACCACTGTCACCCCAATAAGCTTTGATTTAAATATATCTATATATCATTGGCATAGAAAGTGTATAGAATAAAAAAGACGAGGTAGGAAATGAATGTTAGCTAAACCTGGCAGGTGATGAAAAGCTATATTGCTATTAAGCTTTGTTGGAAAGGTTAGCGTCGCGAATTCTGAGGGTGAGTCATTGTTACTATCAGTGGAAATGGGACACAGCCATCCCAGCAGTCTCTCATTTCTAATGGCGTTTTCGTGCCTTCCGAAGCGTTCAGAAACGCACCTTCATGTTTACCGGAAGGGCCGGGCTTTCCTGCCAAACACGTCCTGGTGGATGCCCAGGTAGTTCTCTCACGGTGCCGACCACGCCAGCGGGAACCTGGGCGTCAGCTACCGATGGAAACAGCCAGAGGTGCCATTGGCTGGAACACTCAAATGTTTGCTATGCTAATTATACGCTTTGAAGCATTTCTGGTGTCTTTGAAATGAGAGATGTTTTGAAATGAATGAAATTATACATGAAACCAGTTTGCTCCCTGCAGACTCCTAGAACTTGGGATTTGATATCCTCCTTGGAGATTATTTCACTCACCTGAATATTTTATCGATGAGGAAACTGAGGCCCAGAAAGGTTACGGCAACTGGCTGTGATATTGTGGGGGACAGACAGGATTTACACCCAGACAGACCTGAAACGGAATTTCAATTCTTGTCACCTGTGTGACCTCAGGCGCGTGGTTCCACTTCTCTGGGCTTTGGCGTCCTGCTCTCTGATTGGAAGGATGGTTTTCTACATGGGCCTGAGTTAATTAGATGGGTGATTGCTGTGTATATCAGAAGTTCATTCCTTTCTGGTGCTGAATTGTATTCTAGTGGATGTGCTACTATGTAACCACAGTTTGTTTATCCATCCAGCTGTTCATGAACATTTGGGTAATTTCCAGCGTCTGGTCATTACAAACAAGGCCGCCATGAAAGTTTATGCAAGCCTTTGTAAGTGCGTATATTTCTTTTTCTCTTGTACAAATACCTAGAAGTTGAGTGATTGGATCGTATTTTAGGAGTTTCTTGTTTATGAAACTGCAAAGCTCGTTTCCAAGGTGATGGTACGGTTTGCACTCCCATCAGGAATGGCGGAGGGATCCAGGTGCTCGTATCCTCTGCCGCGTTTCACATAATCAGTTTTTTTCTTTTTCAATTACAGTTGACATTCAATATTATATTAGTTTCAGGTGTACAGCATTAATATGACCTATGGAGTGATCCCCCTGATAAGTCTAGTCTTTTAAATTTTGATGTTCTACTAAGTGTGTAGCGGTATCTCATTTTGGTCTTAAGTTGCATTTCCCTGATGACTAATGATTTTGAGCATCTTTTCATGTGCTTATTGGTCATTCTTGTATCTTCTATGGTGGACTATTCATTCAAATCGTTTGCCCATTAAAAAAAATTGGGTTGTTTCCGTATTACAAAAATTTAAGAGTTCTTTATTCTGAATGCAAGTATATTACCAGATCTATGATTTGCAATTATTGCCCCCCTGTCTGTGCCTTTATTTTGTTTTCTTAACAGTGTCTTTCAGAGGACAGAAGTTTTTAATTTTGATGAAATCCAATTTAGTAGTTGATTCTTTTGTGGGTCACGCTTTGTGTGTCATATCTAAGAAATCTTTGCCTAACCAAAGGTTACAAAGGTTTTCTTATATGTTTTCTTCTAGAAGCTTTGCTTTAGGTTTTATATTAAAGCCACTGATCTATTTAGAGTTATCTCTTGTGTATGATTCAAGGTATGAATCAAAATTTATTTTTTTCATATGGATATTGCATTATTTATATAACATTCTTTTCCCACCAAATTAACTTTTAACCTTTGTCAAAACTCAGCTGGCCATAAGCACGAGGATTTATCGGGTCATCGGAAAAGTCCTGACGTATTTTTTTTTTTATGTTTTTCATTGCAAAAATGCATCATGACTTTTCCAACATGCTCCCTGTTCAGTTCCATCAATCTGCGTGTTTGTATGCCGGTGGCACACTGCCCTGACTGTGGATTTATAATACTTACTGGCAGCAGGAAGTGCTTACCCTTCAGCTTTGTCCTGCCGTGGCCAAGTTGTCCGGGCTGTTCTGGGTTCCTCGTGTTCAAAGTGAGGGGACTTGGCCTTGTCTCCATATCCTTTGATCTTTGGTTCAGTGCTAACTTCCCTTTGCCACACAGGACATGGAGCTCAGTTACAAAAAAAAAAAAAACACAAAACAAAGAAAGAAAGAAAAGAGAAAAATGCAGTTCTTTTGGTCTTGCATATGAAAAAAAATTCTAAAGAAAGAATAACCTGGGGAATAGTAAGCAATAAAAATTAAAAATGGGTAGACAGTTTTCTTTAATAGAATGTTTATTTTAATTTGCATGAACATGATTTCTAAGTGAAAGCCATTAGCTTTTCTGCCACTTTGCCTTTAATCAATCTCATCGTTTTTTTATCAGTTTGATTTCTTCATTTATCAGTTTCACCCCAGCTGATCATTCATTTTCAATGGCTGATGAGTCCTTTCTCAAGACTCACACTTAAAAGGGCTCAGCATTTGTCTAACAAGACATGCCCACTGCCTGTTGGCAACAGAGGGCAACCACCAGTTCTGATGGCCTCTGGGGGCAAAGTTTGTCCCTGTTCACCTGCTTTATAAGGTATTCTCTATGATCCCGTGGCCATGAGGACAGACTGCCAATGATAGATGCCGTTAAGTCCTGATTTATAGAATGTTACATGATGAAATGCTGGATAATAGAAATATTGTTTTATTTCCTGTGGCTTCACTTTGAATGATTATGAATAGTGTTTGTCTAGTATTCATTTTTGCAATGTGTTTCATAATGAAAGCAATAAAATATTTTTGCATTATAATAATAGCAATCACTTCAATACTGCTTACCACAGGTGAGGCACTGTTTTAAGTACCTGTTTCCATATCTATATCTATATCTATCTATCTCTATATATACATGTGTGTGTGTGTGTGTATAAATGCTACCCATAACCCACTATCTGTTAGGAGTGTAATATATATTTATTTTTTCACATGATAGGAATATATATGCATAATTCTTCCATACTCTGGTCGAGTCCCCTTCGTGGTGATGGTTATCAGATCTTTCCAACAAACAATTTCAAAATTGCGAGTGATGGTGATTATTGTCATATGATAGGTCGCCAAGAAGAGTGACAGATATTGTAGGGCTTTCTTTTTTTCTCCCTCTTTTTTTTTGCCTAGTTTCCCTTCTCTTTTACAGGAGTCCTGCCAAGGACCGGCCGAGTGGCTGGGTTGGTTAAGAGCTTGCTCAAGAGTTTGAGCTCTGAGCAACAGCAGTTCGAGTCTGGCCCAAGCTGAGCTGCTATTAAGCTGCCAACAGGTGGCAGGATGGCTCAGCTAAAAAAAAAAAAGGGAGTCCTGCCAATGTCATAGGGTGCTACATTTTGAAAAGAATGTGCTACCTGTGAGGGTTTTTGCGGAAAGCATAGATGATAATAATATAACCTCCCTCCAGGATGTAAGTTCCCTGGTGACAAGACATTGGGCACTCTCATGGTCACTGTATGTTTAGCCCCTTGAGAAATCTTCACACACTGCAGGTGCTCAGTATTATCACTGAATAAAACATTTAAGTCAGGTAAAGTGACCAGTAAAATACTTATGTGTTTGGGACCATATTGGCCATACCCCCACTGAAAAGAAAAAAAGAAAAGATTCTTCAGCGTTCAGCTCCCCTGAGGCGTGACCATTTTGAACATTGTTTGGGGAGCTCTCCATAGCTTTCGTAAGGCCCTCCGTAAGGGAGTCTCTGATATGCCCAAGAGGGTAAACATCACAATCTCACGTTGAGACAGTTGTAGTTTTATTTCAAATAAGAATTTGAGAGTCTAAAATACGTGAGCTAGCTGTAAGGACTATTGTGAAATTCTCTAACACAACATGTGTCATCTTGGCACAAAAGTTGACGAAAGCCCAAAAGGAAAGGTGGTCGCTGCCGCCTGCAGCAGCAATGGTCTAAGGCTGGGAGCACGGTGCTGGGATCTGGCGCCCCCGTTCCTCCAGGGCACCTCAGGACCCCAGGCTGCCCTCCCAGCCACCGCCACCTCAGCCCCAATGCCCAGCATACTGTCACCCCCACCGTCCCCAACAAATACCCACCTCCTCACCCTTCTGTGCCTGCCCTGGGCCCTCTGACACCTCCCCCCATGCCAGGGAGCGTCCCTGTATCCTCTGCCTTTGGGACACTACGGAACCAAGCCGTCACCCAAGGATACCCTCCCCCTTGTATGATGCAACTTCTGTGACATATGGTTTAGGTGAGACTCCCCCTTTAAAAGCTGTAGTTACCGCCACCGCCACCGCCGCCGCCGCCGCCGCCGCCGCCTCCGCCGGTCTCGGTGTCGGGGCAGCTGCGCGGCCGAGCACCCCCAGGCAGCACCTCAGAAGTTGTTGACAACTGTATCCAGCCCTTGCCGAATACATCCGTTCTCCACACATCCGTTGTGAGGCCCCTCCAGGTACAAGGTGGGTACCATGGCTGAGGAGTTTGGCTGCCACTACTGTAGGGACCCCCTGCAGGGGAAGAAGTACGTGGAGAAGGACGGTCACTCCTGCTGCCTGAAGTGCTTTGACACGTTCTGCGCCAACACCTGTGTGGAATGCCGCAAGCCCATCAGCGCGGACTCCAAGGAGGTGCACTACAAGAACCGCTACTGGCACGAAGCCTGCTTTCGCTGTTCCCAGTGCCTTCACCCCTTGGCCAGTGAGACCTTTGTGGCCAAGGACAACAAGATCCTGTGCAACACGTGCGCCCCGCGGGAGGACTCCCTCGAGTGCAAGGGCTGCTTCAAGCCGTTCGTGGCAGGAGATCAGAACGTGGAGTACAAGGGGATCGTCTGGCACAAAGACTGCTTCACCTGCAGCAACTGCAAGCAAGTCATCGGGACTGGAAGCTTCTTCCCTAAAGGGGAGGACTTCTACTGCACGACGTGCCACGAGGCCAAATTTGCCAAGCATTGCGTGAAGTGCAACAAGGCCATCACATCTGGAGGAATCACTTACCAGGATCAGCCCTGGCATGCCGAGTGCTTCGTGTGTGTCACCTGCTCTAAGAAGCTGGCTGGGCAGCGTTTCACCGCTGTGGAGGACCAGTATTACTGCGTGGATTGCTACAAGAACTTTGTGGCCAAGAAGTGTGCTGGATGCAAGAACCCCATCACTGGGTTTGGTAAAGGCTCCAGTGTGGTGGCCTATGAAGGGCAATCCTGGCACGACTACTGCTTCCACTGCAAAAAATGCTCCGTGAACCTGGCCAACAAGCGCTTTGTTTTCCATCAGGAGCAAGTGTATTGTCCCGACTGTGCCAAAAAGCTGTGAAGTGACAGGGGCTCCTGTCCTGTAAAGTGGAATTGAGTCTTGTTCTTTGTGTCCTCGCCCTCTGCCCTGCACCAACTATAGGGAAAGAGTGGCCTTTCGCCTCTTCCAAGTTGCTCTTCTCTCTCTCCTCCCATTGTACAGTATTACTCAAATAAGGGCCCACAGTGATCACATTAGGATTTAGCAAAAAGCAACTCTGCGGCAAAATTCATTTCGTGATGGCTTCCGTTAAAAAAAAAACAAAACACTTAGATTGACTCTTCTGCATGTTTATCATAGAGCAGAAAAGTGCTAACCATTTAGCTGCTTAGCGATGTAAGCAAAAAGCCTAAGAGATAAAGCCCCTACTGAAGTGCCCTTTGTGGCTCAGCTGGGACCCACCGTGTCGTCACGTGACACACACGAGTTGTAGCAGCTGCTCCAACTCACTGCTCACCCTGTCCTGTGAGCAGAAACAGAGCTTACCGAAATGCATGGTTTAACTTTCTCATCAAAACCTTCCTTCTGTTCTTTTTGTGCTTTTGAACGAGTAAAACGAATTTCCAGAACAATAACTTTTGAACTTAGCTGTGATTCTAAACTGACCTTTCCCCTGTACTAATGTTTGAGTTCCCCGTGTGGCGTGTTTTCTAAACGCTCCTACTATCAAACATGGAACATGCAGGTGATTTGGAAAGTAGGCAGATCTGAGAAAACGAGCCTGTTTCAGAGGAACATCCTCACAGCCGATACTTCTGGAAGCTTAACAAAACTAACCCAGCTGTCCTTTCTCTCTTTTTTAAATAATAATAGTTTTGTTTTAATTAATAGCAACATAGTTTATGGGTTTGGAGACTTGCATGAAAACATTTTAGCCCTCTCAAATGTTCCTGCAGTTTTGAAATCATCCTACAGAAGTAATCATAAAACTCTAGAGGGGTAGCTGAGCAGGCACCAGGACTGTCATTGACACGGATGTGACATTTCCAAACAGTGACAGGTTGAATTCCTTGTAACATAGTAGCTGTCTGCTCTTTGTCCGTGTGTTAAAGAGGCCCACCACATCCCTTCTCTTGTGATTCTTAGGACTGTTCCTCAAGAGCTTAGCTGGATCTCCAGGGGAGTGGGGAGGCCACCATCCTCACAGGCAGAACTGGATTTCCATGTAGTGCTTAGCTGAGATGCAGGATCACCTACTTACTGTATTCTATCTACATTGTTATATTACATAGTAGAATGAGACGATATCAAAAGTGAACATGTAATGACAATACATATTAACATTCTCGTAGCCGTGGTTAGAGAAGCCGATGCCTCATTTCTACATTTTGTCATTAGCTATTATCATCTGATGTTTCGGTGTATCCTTACAGAAATAAAGCAGCATATAAATTTTTTTAAAAATTAAAAAAAAAAGCTGTAGTTAAACCATACATCATATAAGCCAGGCGCCTGGCCACAGCTCCCTGTGTGCTTTCTCTATTCTCCGTGTAATCATTTGCAATTACTTAGTCGTTTGTTAGTGTATTTGATGTCATCTCTCAGGAGGCAGGAACAATGTCATCTTGGTCACAATTGAATTCTCGGTGCTTATCACCGTGTCTGCAGGCACATCGTCGGGCGCAGTAAATTATCAGTTGGATTACTTAACACAAAGAAATATAAGATAGAATCTGGCCCTTAGCATTTATGCTGCTATAATTCTTAACTTATTTTATGACTGTATAATTTTGTTTATGTTCTCACGCACTTTTAAAAGCATTAACATATTTTAAAACTTAAATATCGGCATGAAATTTACAGGTAATCATACATTTGTAATGTAGTGCAGATTTAATGCGAGATAAGAAACGCAGCTATTGTTTGGGTTTCAGGAATGGGAAGACGTGAATAGATGTTGGGCCTGGAGCCAGGGTGTCCGGCGGGCTGGCAGGACTGTGACGGGTCTGCAATGTGAGGAGGGCGTCATGCCTGTCCCTCCCCTTGGAGGAAGCCGAACAGAAAAGGGGTCTTACCTGAAGAGGGCTTACCTGTCTGCTCCACTCGTCCTTGTAGGTGTTGCCCGAGAAGGAAATTTTACGAATTGGGCCAGGAAATAGACCTCTGTAAAGGACACTTGTTCTAAAACTACGTGTTTTACGCTGTTTGTAAATTGATTGGGTTGAACTTTATTTTACACAGTTCACCCGTGTGTGTTATTTGGGACGTGAATAACTCATCTCCAGAGAAATGAAAACTAGCGTGTAGGGTATTTAGGGAGACCCCAGGTTAATGTCAAACCAGGCGTCCTAACCAGAGAGAGGCAGTTTCACATGAAAGCGCGGCTGAGCTCCCTCCACGCTGCCCGTCTTCTCAGGGTTGGTGTTGCTGTGGCTAGTGGGACACAACTGCGTCCCCTTCGAGCGACTCACTAACACAAGTAATGTTTGGTGTACCTAAACCTGAATCTTCTTGCATCACGGTGGTCACACCAGATTTATTGATTCACCCATTAAATCAATTCCAAGGGCAGATTTTTCAATACTGGCTTTTAAAATATTAACTCACTTATGGATTTGGCAGGGATGGTGGGGGGAAGGCCTCAATGCCTCATTTATAGCTATTTGAAATCACCAGCCCGTCTTCCGACTTATTAGGTGCAACAATTATTCAGAAATAGAAGTCAATTAGAAGTTCCAATGGAAAGCATGAAAAAGAAATTTCCCTAGGGTATAAATGTGTTACGCGGTAGTGTCGTTAAGTCAATTAAATTACAGCCCATATTTTGCTAAGACATAAAAACTCTCAATATGTCTATGTAATAAGAAAATAGAATGGGCTTTGAGGTTTTCTCAGAAAACAACAATTTTGTCAGAATTAAATGTGTGTGTGTGTGTGTGTGTGTGTGTGTATGACTTATACTTGTGCTATTTTCATTAATGTCCTATTAATTTAAATATTCCAGTCAAATTATATTGCTTCAACCAAGCTATCCCGATGTTTATAGGAAGGAATGTTTATAGTTAGATATCATAACCTAAGGCAATGCACACACAGAATATAAACTCAGCATTTCATATACCTATGTGGAAACGGAGGCCTTTTTGTTGTTTTTCAGTGCATTCTGATTTCCAGTTCTTGTAGGTGAGAGGTGAAGGAACCGGGAGGAGAGTGGATGGTGAAGAGGGAACACTGAATAGACGGGACTCTGTAGATCTAACCGCACATGGAATTGAGGTGAGGGAGGCTCCCCAGAGGAGACTAGGCCCAAACTGGGTCGGTCAGCCAGGGCTCTGGGAGCAGAGAGCATTACTTACCGCTTCTCTCCACAAACGCCCCCCTAATCTAGTGCTGCTTCTCCTCAGAGGAATGTAGACCATTCCAGAACTCTCCAAGGAAGGGATTTTTTTTTTCCTTCATGACGATAAGACGTACAGATGAAGGAGAACAGCAAAACCAAGACACCTTGATAAAACTTAAATTGCTGGAGTTGAAGACTTAGTGAAAAATTTAATGCATTAAAATATACTAGGAATCACCTGTTCTAGTTAGAAACCCATCATGTAAATAATTACTTTCCATCTTCCTTGAAAGCACTAAACTGATGTATAATTTAACATACACAAATGATGTGTAATTACATATGTATGTATGAATGATATCTCACCATAATGCATACATACATACTCAGCACTTTGCTACTTGTGTGGTTTTCAGAGACAGGTGTGGCTTCCTAGGTTCTGCAGTTGTGCCCTCGAGGTGGGGTGTGCGATGTGCCCACGCACAAGGAGACCTTCCCAGGTTAGAGGCAGCATTGGGGGCATGCAGCCAGCTCCCTGCTCCTGAGTAGCTGATGCTACGGGTCAGCCGTTGAACCAGAGCCAGGACTCTCTTCCCTTGGTCCTGCCAGACCCTCCCTCTGTCTCCCGCAGTGGAAATGCCTCCCGGCTGCCTCAGGCTGGGTGTTGGTTCGCTCTGTTCTCTCTGGTCACCTTTTCGTGCCTGGTGGCATTTACATCAGTTGCAGGGAAGACCACAGAGAGGATTTCCCAAGAAGCCTGTGATTAAAAGGCACTTAGGCGGAGTAGCTACCCTTATCCTCTGCTTAGACGTTTGAAAGGAGACGACAGCCCTCAGTAGCTGAAGCACAGGGGAGTGATGGTAGAGGCGAGGAGCTCAGAGAAGCAGTGGCAGCTGGCTCTCCATACCCTTGGCAGCACTGCCTTCCCGGCTGCCCCTTTTCACTTTTGCCTCATTAGAGTTACCTGCAGAAGAGAGCCGACTCTTAATTAATGCCACTCTCAAAGGGCCCCACCAGTGCCCCTGCGTGGACTGAGACGCAGGCAGCCACCGTGTTCCTTCCTCCAGGGACTGGTGTAGCCAGACCTGCCTGCTGGCGTGGGCAGCTGACCAAGCCCTCAGGGAGGACGAGCTGTTTCCTGAGCACAGATCAAAGCACGGATACAAACGTTACGCCAATATTTTCTTTAGATTACATTTATGGTCTGCACTCTGGGAGCCGAGGGAACTTTATAGTCTGAGTTTCATTTTTATGTATATATTTGTAGTCCATAGACAAAGAAATGTAAGAGGGTGACTGAGAATTGGCAACAAGTAAAGAAATGTGTCACCCCACTGATACAGTTTTATATTTACCAACAGTTTTGAAGAAATACATTGTACCCATCACTAAAAAGTATAAAATGTCTCTCTGTGCATGCGTGGGTTGTCGATGCATCCTCAAACCATACAAAACATGTCACAGTGCCCTGGGTCTGTTGTAAAAGGGGACTCATCCTCATAAGTGGGTCTCAGGTGGAGGGCAGCTCAGCGCCATTTCCTCTGCAATTCCGGTCCTACCTGGTCAAGTCCCGATGTCAGAGCTGGTGATGCACCTGAATGAAACCCCTCACCAGGACAAGGGCAGCAGGTCCCGAGGAGAAAGCCACATGATCCCTCTCGTTCGGGTTAGATTCTGTCCGTATATTGCTTCAGCATCACCACACTCAGGCTTCCATGAAACCCAGGGAGCGCTCAGTGAGACACGTTTTTGTCAGCTACGTGCTCACCATAGTCCCTGGAGAATTCCCCCAAATTCCATTAAATCCTGGTACTCTGTTCAGTAAATAGCCATGAAAACACCGTGGTACTTAGAGCAAACCCTCACTTCCCTGCTAAAACCTTATATTACAACCGTCTAATTACCATGTTGTGCAGTAGCCTTGTGGGACTGCCACAGGTAATTAGAACTCCGGAGCTTTTCTGCAGTAATCCAGTAAGGACCTCTTAACTAGAAAGGATTACGCGCTGTTAATATTGCTGTGCCCACGTGCTTTCTGCAGTTGTTTCAATTAATACTTGGCAGCCAAACAGAATGTCATGCGGCTCCATAAACGGTGACAGTTCATGAGTCAATCCTGCAATGAATGGGTTGCCTTCATGTCACTTCCCTCCATCCTCGCTCGCGCTCTCTCTCTCTCTCTCTCTCTCTCTCTCTCTCTCTCTCTCTCTTTCATTCTGTCTCTATCTCTCTCTCTCTGCAATTTTTTAGTAATCAATATGCTG